AAAATTGAAGAAATTGTGCCAAAATATACTTAATGTGAGCTTTCTCTGTGTACTCTATATGTTTTGTGTGTGTGTGTGTATGTTTCTGTATGTATATATACACACAGATTCTATAAGTGTCATTTCTCTGGCTTTTTTTTTATACTGATGAATGATGATAATCACTTAATTACTAAATGCATTTTTAAAAATGTGTCAGTCGTCTTTTTATTCTAGTGTGCATTGGATAATTTGCCATCTCGGTTGAATGCTAATGCCACAATAATGAAAAACTTCATGCTTCGCCTGTGTGACCTTACCATTGCATCGTTAGGAGAAGAGTCAGTAGATATAAAGAACAGAAAATTTCCCCCTTCTGCACAATCCATAGCTTGACTTTGCATCCCGCACTGAATCACAAGTTGGCCTGCTGCATTTTAGCCTAGTGCATATATTTAAGCCACGCAATAAATATATGATTCCCATATGATTTTGCAAAACCAGAACATTGGGTTGAATAACTCATGGGCAAGTATGTTGTGCAGAATTACAATTACAAAAACACCTTTGATTTAGATGCTGGTTTGCTGTTTTATTAATATAGTTCAATGACATTCCAGATTTGTTATAATTTGCAATGGAATTTTTCTGTACAACTATGAACTGCCCTGAGTGTAATCATCTAGTTGTAGAAAGGAAAGTGTAAATTAGAAAACGGAGCACTGAGGCTGTGATATTTCCGTGATTTATTGGATAAGTATCCACAAATATGCCTGAAATAAGAAATTTCCCCCTTCTTGCAACTTTTAAAGTATGACTTCTTCAACATTGGAAGAATGCAGTGGGAAGGCAGGGCATGACATGGAAGTTCTCTGATGTGGGTGAGTGCCCAGATTCGGTGGTGAGCTTTACACACCCCTTTCCAGCAGGCGACCCAACTCCTCCAGTGTTGAAGCAAGGTGCCAGAGCTTCCAGAACTGTCAGTTCGAATCACTTCTCAAACAATGCCCACCATTGGAGCCCTAGGCCTAACAATTCCAAACCCAGCCTTACAATGGCGCTTGCCAGTTAAAATCTGCCTGTCTGCAGAAAGCAAATTGCAGTGCTAATTAACTGTTAATGCCTGCAGATGTTTGATGTTTAAGAATCTATGTTTTGTGGTCTGCAACAAAAGATGAACAGGGGCTTCAGAGAAGGCTTCAAAGACCCACTAATCCCTCACAGAGGTGGCTCCCAGGAACAAAAGGTGTGCGGGGCTTCAGTGAAGGGCTGAATGATGGAGATCCCTTATCTCTGACACCAGTTCTGAATGATCAGGCTTCTAATTATGGGACTGTGTAATGTCCTCTGGCTCAATAGGATGAAAGAACCAGAGAGATCAAACCTTCCTAGATAGGGTGGAACCTTTTGAGTCCAACTCACAGAAAGACACAGAGAAATCTATAACACAAAACATAGATATTAAAAGACTTTCCAGAATCACAAAAGTCATTCTGCTCCAAAGGTACATATGCAAATATACACAATTATACCTAATAAAGGATTTTGATTTTACTGTGAACTATCACTTTCTTCCTATTTAAACTATTTATTAGGGTTGTTGTGGGACCAAAAGTGGACGGCTGGATGTATGTTTCTTAAATTCCTTAAATATAACAATAGGCTGTACACTCAATAGCGGAAAAACAAAAGGATAGAATGTCATGAAAATGTGAATTTCTTCACTGCATATCCATGTTCCACCACTCCCACCAAAAAAAAGTCCATGGCATTTTTAGGATTAATACTGGAAGGGTGAAAAGTATGAAGTGGTCTCTCTATCTTGAACAAAAGTTTGCTGGGCAAAGAAAGCTTTTGGTTGTTGGAAGAAATATCTTTCTGGTTCAGTTCCAAGTGGGGAAAAAGACACTGGAAACATGGAGGCTGTTTGGAAGGTTTAATGGTGGACAGGACCACATGGCTTGAAGCTCCAAAGTGAAAAGGATGATCACATCCTTCAAGGTGAAGGAAAAGATCAAGAAGGACTGATATGCTGAGAGTGCCTGGGTTGTATAACCTTTGTTGGGATTCGAATTGGAGCTTGTATTCTGATTGGTTGTCAGACTCCCATGGGGCCATGCAGGGGCAACTCTGTAGGCTGTCCTGAGTTCCAGGCTTGGTTGAGCCTTGCTGGATGATGATGCACTGAAAAGGACTTTTGAACAATTGCTATAGCTTTACCTGGAGATCTTTGTTATGATTGTAAAGTATTCTGGCCCAGGCCTTAATGGCCCACCCATTAACAAAGGTGGGGGTGAGTTTCTGCTTCTGAGGTGAGTTTCTGCTCTTGAGTTTCTACTCTTTTTAGGGGGAAATAGTCTGCCTTATTAATATTTCCTAGGATATTTCATTTTTCTAGGAGAGGGGTGGGTGCTAACTTCCTACATGGTGGTACAGCGAATACATTTTGGTTTGCTGTTAATTGAGCTAAATCTCAAAGCACAGAAATACTAAGAAATACTAAGGGAAAAAAAGGCTTCCCACAAAAAAAATAAAATCCAGATCCAGATCTTTGATGGGTGAGATAGTTTTTTTAAAACAACAGATGCCCCAGGGGAGTAAGGATTGTATTTGTGTCGCTTTGTCTGTTTATCTTTGCCTTTAACTATACTTGCTATTCAAAAAATAGCAGGTGAAACTGTTCACAACAGGGAGGGGACCTGATATCAGGTGTTAACTGCAATATGCCAAGTGTCAGAAATGTAACCTCTCTGATAAGAGCAAAGAATTATCTTTACCCCCAGTTGTTAATTGGGTATTTTGTTAAGCCACAGAGTCCAGGGGGACAAACCAAGTTAGCAATTTGATGATTACATGATCCACCAGTGCTTTTTTCTCCCCTCATCCAGATTGGACAAGTAAAATTTACTTAGGACTCTTTCCCAACTGCCTGCCTAGGACCCAACCTATACATTCTTCAAAACCTCTGAAGTAATATTTTTATTACCCATTTCCCTCTCTACTTTTAAGTGTTCATTAAGAGACTTTTTTTAAAAAAAACCTCCAGATTTAAGAAAATTATGTTTTTCAATACTCTGAATAATATTCTTCATTTTAGTGTGTCATTTAGAACTAGGAAATGTCAGTTCACACAGTGATGTCTGTATCAGTCTGATGCCTGCTCCATGATCATTTTTCCTACACGCAAGGTTGGGTGGTTGAATGTCTATTAGCGTACCCAAATGCAGAGAGTTTTATGAACAAACTGGGGTTTCAAAGGGCTCTTTGGAGAGGATAATTGAAACCCCTTTCTTCCTTTCTGTTCCCCTCTGCCATCCTCCTCCCTTTGCCTTCCGCTGTTTTGGGTCTTTTGTATTGTTCTCTATATTTAAAAGGTTTTAACAATTTTGAACCATCCAGAGTTGCTGGGAAATGGTTGCTGGGAATACTATTATTATTATTATGGTTGGTCGCACAGTCTGATATCTAGACCGGATTTGGCATATTTACCCACCTATCAGATCCTTCCCAAGGATTTGGGATAGGCAGGACTTTGCTGTTTAATAGCAAGAGCACTTAGACTTATATATCGCTCCATAGTGCTTTATCCTACTCTCTTGAGTGGTTTACAGAGTCAGCATATTGCCCTCAACAATCTGGGTCCTCATTTTACTGACCTCGGAAAGATGGAAAGGCTGAAGTCAACCTTGAGCCAGTCAGGATCGAACTGATGGCAGTCGGCAGAATTAGCTCCCAATACTTGCATTCTAATCCCTGTGCCACCATGGCTCTTAATATTAAAGGCATTGTTGCAGGGCATTGTTATTAGCAGCCGCCAGTCCTTTAGCTGGTGTTGGCCTTCATCTACAAGTTCTTCCCAAGAACTGAGGATGTCATCATGTATCAGCATCCTCTAGCCATGGGCCTTTTTGCAACCAACTGATTGTTGGAAGAAATATCCTTCTGGGTTCAGTTCCAAGTGGGGGAAAAGACACTGGAAACATGGAGGCTGTTTGGAAGGTTTAATGGTGGACAGGACCACATGGCTTGAAGCTCCAAAGTGAAAAGGATGATCACATGCTTCAAGGTGAAGGAAGAGATCAAGAAGAAGGACTGATATGCTGAGAGTGCCTGGGTTGTATAACCTTCGTTGGGATTTGAATTGGAGCTTGTATTCTGATTGGTTGTCAGACTCCCATGGGGCCATGCAGGGGCAACTCTGTAGGCTGTCCTGAGTTCCAGGCTAGGTTGAGCCTTGCCTGATGATGATGCACTGAAAAGGGCTTTTGGCAATTGCAATAGCTTTACCTGGAGATCTTTGTTATGTAAAGTATTCTGGCCCAGGCCTTAATGGCCCACCCATTAACAAAGGTGGGGGGTGAGCTTCTGCTTCTGAGTTGTTTCTGCTTCTGAGTTTCTACTCTTTTTAGGGGAAATATTCTGCCTTTTTAATATTTCCTAGGCTATTTCAATTTTCTAGGAGAGGAGTGGGTGCTAACTTCCTATATGATGAAAAGTTTGTCAATGCGCAGAGATTTTTTTATTTTTTAAACGTGCGCGTGCTTAATAAAGGAAAGATATTATTAGGCTCCTTGTTGTTCAGTTCTGACCCAGAAAGAATTCACTATAGAAATTCCGGGAGGGTGGAGTGGGGGGGGGGGGGGGGGGGGACAGACGGGGAGACAGACCTGCAGAGGTTCTGGCGAGCAGCGCGCCCCCTGTGGGCAAAGTGCCGAAGCTGCCCTTTTTCCTTGAAAAGTCTGCGCCGCGTATTTATTTTCCTGTGTAACCCTGCCAGACGGCGTCTGCCTCTCTGAAGCTTGCAGCGATTTCCTTTCCAAGCCTGCCCTTATCTTCTCCTGCACGTTGACTCCGGGTGACTAATAACACAATAACATCATAAAGTCGGGTTTGTTTACTCCGCTCTCCCGGGGGTGCGTATAAAAGGAGCCGCCGAGAGTCCGACCGGAGCCAGAAGCGCTCGAGGAGCCTCGCTGGAAACAGCAAGCAGCTGCAAGCAGTAGTAGTAGTGATAGTAGCAGCAGCAGCAGCAGCAGCGCCTGCCCACCTGCTCCACAAAGCCCTCCTCTATTGCGCGCAGCCTGCCTCTCGGACTGCGGCCAGAGGTGGCTTCGGGGACGGGAGGGATCGAGCGATCGTGCCCGCCTGCAACCTGCCTCGGGACTTTGAAGCGGGGGGTTTATAAAGGGCGTTCAATTCCCTCTTGCCCGCCCCTGGGGTTAAGCCGGAGGAACCGTCGGGATGGATTACGCGCGGATGATCCTCCTTCCCCTGCTTTTTGTGATCAGCCAGGGAGCTCAACACGCCGGTAAGTTTGATGTTTGGAATTGTTCAAGTCTTCTGCACGTGGATTCTTTTAGCCCAGGTTGGGCTTCGCCGATAGGCTGCATCCGTCTCCAAGGAAGACCGCCAAAACTCGGGCGCTCTGTGGTTCCAAAACGGGGCTCTCCAACCTTGGCAACTTTAAGCCTGGCGGACTTCAACTCCTCCAAGGCTTCAAGTTTGCCAAGGTTGGGAGGAAGATTCCCTAATCCAAAAGCCAGGTCAGGCGCTTGCTTAGCCTCGTCAAGGGGCAACTTCAGGACTCCGGTCCTCAAGGCCAATTCATCCGAAAAATCGTTAGACGCCGGTCCTAGGTTCGATCCCGCGGGCGAAGGCTGCTTCTGAGAGGTGGCGGGATCTACTGCTGTAAAGCTCGCTTTAGCGGTGGCCGCTGCGAATTTGGGGAGCAAGTTTTAGCACTAGAATTCTTTTTTTTTTTTTAAAAAAAAGAAATACGTCCAAGGAGGTATTGGAAGAGCTCTTCTGCCTGCTGGATTCACTAGCTCGCTAGGCGATTAGCCCAGAGGGATGGTTTGAGAGTTGGAAAGTTGAGTGAGATTCAGGCAGCAAAATCTTGGGACACTTGAGAGCGGATGGACAAACCCTAAGTAGAATTAAAGAGACTTCAGCATTCGCTAGCAAACCACACACTCCATGGCGCTGATGAGGTTACCTAATTGGGCCATGAGACGTCTGGAAAAAAACAGAAGCATCCGAGCTCAGAAGAGCACCAAGGGCTCCAGATAATTAAGAGAGAGCGTGGATCTGTTGATTTCAAAGGAGGCGAGGTAAATGGGCTTAAAAACTGATATCCTCAGCTGCGATTCTCCAGAAACTAAACCAGGTATCGCCACTGAACAAGCCACTGCGGTTGCATTCGTACGATACGCCGCCCTAAAAACAATTGTAGGTTAATGTGATGTTGGCATGGTTCGTTCCTCCTCGAGGCAGAATGTGTGTGTGTGTGTGTTTTGGCTTGGGCTTCGCCACTGTGATAGGTAAACCCCGATTTAAAGTTTATCGTGTTGTGCCAGGTAGAGGTTAGTAACTCTAAGCCTTCTCAATTGTAGCGGTTTCCCTCTTTGCAGTCCAGCGTGAGTTTCGGATAGCTTTCCCCAACCCCTCGCGTCATTCACAAGTGCTGGTTTTGGCATTGGGGGAAAATTGAAATCCCGGTTTATTTTGGGGGGCGAGCGTCTCTTTGGGCGATCCCATAAAAGCGAAAACTGACCGGAAGGTGCATCCCCCCCCCCAAGAGGCAACTTGACTTTCTGGTTGTTGTTTTTTGTTTGTTTGTTTTTGCTTGAAAAACGTTTCGCTTCTCATCCAAGAAGCTTCTTCAGCTCTGACTGGAGGGTGGGGGATTCATTTCTTCCCAGGGTGCCCTATGCAAGACACTGTAACAGCTGAAGCAGCTTCTTGGAGGAGAAGCGAAACGTTTTCAAAGAAAAAAAGAAATAAACCAGAAAGTCCAGTTGCCTCTTGAGGGGAAAAAAAAAAACACCTTTGGGACAACCAGGACCTGGATGGCTGAGAATCTCCATAGACAGGAAAGGGTTTTGCGCCCCCCGCTCCCCCGTCATTTGCTTCATAGAGGTAGGCTATCCAGTTCCCCTTCAACTATTTGGGACTACACTTCCCATGAACCGCGCTGCCTAAAGGCTCGGAAGCGCTGTATAGAATAGCCTGCTAGCACCTGGGGGGGCTTGCTCGCCTTTGCAGCCAGAGCGCCCGTCAACCCGATAGACTAAGCAGGGGTCTCCAACCTGGGCCACTTTAAGCCTGGTGGACTTCAATTCCCAGAATTCCCCAGCCAGCTGGCTGGGGAATTCTGGGAGTTGAAGTCCTCCAGGCTTAAAGTGGCCCAGGTTGGAGACCCCCTGGGATAGAGAGAGCTTGGTTGGCTTCCAGGGAGGATCGGAATGGGCTGGGAGGTTCGGTTCCAAACCGGACTAGCCGGTGTTTGCATTTCCCGCTCTGGCCCCTTAAAACGACGCGGGTCGCTCAGCGAGGAGCCCCGTGCAGTTCTCGAAGCTTTTCCACAGGTTTACCCCCCCCCCCCGCCCCCCCGGCTCCCCCACGTCTCCTCAGTTCGTCCGAGATGCTCCGCTTCCCTTTTCCCAACCGGCTCTTTCTTTCCCCGCTTTAATCTCCCGCTTCCTCCTGCTTCGAATCGCTTCTGCCTCTGGCATCGCTCAGCGACGGTTATGTTTTTTTTTTTCTCTTTCTCCTCAGACGCGGCGGTCGGTGCCTGGGTGGGAGCCACCAAGCAGCCCGCGAGCGCCCCCTCACCGCCACGCAGGGTGAAGCGTTGCTCCTGTTATTCCCTGATGGACAAAGAGTGCATCTATTTCTGCCACCTGGACATCATCTGGATTAACACCCCGGAGTAAGTACGGCCTCCTCCTTGGCACTAAGCCATTAATGTAGTGCTTTAAAAAAAAAAATATCGCTGCGGGGCTGTGTTTAATTACGTCTAGGATTCCTCTGTTAAGGCCAGCTCAGCTTTTTATCTGGCCACGGCTATCTAAAGTCAGGGGTCCACAAACTTGGTCACTTGAAGACTTGTGGACTTCAACTCCCAGAATTCCTCAGCCAGCTTTGCTTTAAGCTTTGCTGGCTGAGGAGTTCTAGGAGTTGAAGTCCACAAGTCTTAAAGTGACCAAGGTTGGAGACCCCTGATTAAAGTATCAGCCAGAAATGGACAAACTTACACTAGAGTTAAAAGGTAAAGAAGATTCAGAGTATTATGCGGTATGGGAAAATTGGTATGAAGGGATAGACAATAGGAATAAAAATTGTAGAGAGAAGAAGAAGGTATTGTGATATATACGAGTAATTAGAAGTGTATGGAAATGTGTAACAAAGATGCCTCAGTACTGTTAAAGATGCTTAAAATGTGTAAAGAGAAAAAAATGCAATAAAAATATTAAAAATAAATAAAGTATCAGCCGGATCCAAAGCCCCACAAATGGGAAGTCTAATTGCACAATAGACTTAGAATAATTTGGGGAAAGCTCTATTAGTTCAGGCAGAGTTGCTTGCTTCTAGCAATTTAAAGAAGCAAAGGTGAATTGCCACAATCAGCACCAGGTTAGAAGAAGTGGGTATAAAAATAAGTGTGTTAGGGTAACGAGTGCACACCCCAGAACTGTTTTCCTGGAAAAGTATAAATACAGGTAGTCCTCGACTTACAACCAACAATTGAGTCCCAAATTTCTGTTGCTAAGTAAGACATTTGTTAAGTGAGTTTTGCCCCATGTTATGACTTACCTCGCCACAGTTGTTAAGTGAATCCCTCCAGTTGTTAAATTTGTAACATGGTTGTTAAGTGAATCTGGCTTCCCCATTGACTTTGCTTGTCAGAAGGTCGCAAAAGGGGATCGCATGACCCCAAAATATTTGCAACTGTCATAAATATGAGTCAGTTGCCAAGTGTCTGAATTTCGGGGTGCTGCAATGGTCAGATGAGAGGAAAAAGGGTCGTAAGGGTCACTTTTTTTCAGTGCCGTTGTAACTTTGATCGGTCACTAAATGAACTCTTGTAAGTTGAGGACTACCTGAATTAATGTAATTCTTTTGGATTGGCCTCTGCATCTAATACAGTGGCATTCTGCTTGCTTCTAAGCAGTTTGTAGATTTGCAACCTTGCTCTTTGTAGCTATGTATTTAAGGGTGCCACGCTGCAGCTTGGCGAGTAAGGATTATTAACAGCAAACATTTGTTTGGATGTATTTCTTAATTTGCAATGTATTTGCATGGGCTGTTTTTATTAAATTGTCAAAGCCTGCAGACATAATCCTAAGGTTTAATGTAGTTTTTTTCTGCATTGTATTTATTACACACAATACAACAAATACATGCATATTTACATACATGCATATATGCATGCATACATACATATTTGATAGTACAGCACTGTTCAAACAAGCTCAGCTATTTGCTCTCATGCATGAAATCTGATTTTAATTGGTTCATTTGTGGTATTAAACTGAAACTGGCTTGGTATACCATGAGCAGAGTTTGCAAAGACAAAATCTGGCCCCAGTGTTCTCCTATGGGATTCTGCTGCATTAGCAGCATGTGAGGCGGAACTGCAGTTAATCAAATTAGCAAAGGCAAGCCAAAGACAGGTTGCTATCAGACAAATTGTGTTGTGTAATCCTTGATAAGCGTGCTGAAATGTATTTGAACGCCGCCATCTGCTGCTAGCACATACCAATCCTGCTTTAGTTATTTGGCTTAAAAGGAGGTCTGTGGGTGAGGGAGTTTGAGGATGCTTCTTTGGTAAGAGGATACTAATAACGGTGCCAAATTATTAGAAGTTTGAACTGTGATTGGCCTCATAGATGACTGTGTGTATGGAGCTTGGTAAAACCAGACATTTCACACCAAGTTGTAATTCCAATCTGATTCTGCCAGCATGGTCAGCGGTGAGGGATGATGGGAATTGTAGCCTAGGAATAACTGGGAGACCACATGTTACTCATTGAATATATTTTTTAAATTTTTTCATGATAGGCGGATTGTGCCATATGGGCTTGGAAGCCTTTCTCGAACCAGACGGTCTGTAAAAGACTTACCACTTGACACACTTCAGCCATCTCACAGCAGATGCCACTGTGCTAGCCTGAACGACAAGAAGTGTATGAACTTTTGTCAGTCAAGAACAGAGCACAGGTAAATTTTCTTTTGCTAGCCTATAGTGAATGGATTATAAATTGGATCCCAATATGCCTACTTCATCTCTAAATATTTGAGTTACCATAGCCTGACTTTTGCGGTGGTATCAATTAAGTGAACAAAGGCTACGGGCTTTGAAGCATCGAAAGAAACAGGGTGTCATTAAAGTTTATCATGTTCAACTAGCACTAGGATGCTAGTCTTATTTAGACATGATACCCATGATTTTGAGCAGGGACAAGCAACTGATGCCCTCTTTTGAAGTTCAAATGTCATCATTCCCAGTCAATATGGCTAATGGTATAGTCTATCAGAGTGCAGCTCCCAACATTTGGAGGATATGGGATGCTTCTCTCTGATCTTGGATATTTTCTTCAACCAAATCAGGGGTCTGACTGACTGAGGAATTCTGGAAGTCCACAAGTCTTAATATTGCCAAGTTTGGAGACCCTTGAACTTAATCAGTGCGATTAAGGTGTTAAACTGTAGCCATGGAAGCTTGTTTTGTGGCTTTTGAGTTAGTTACCCTTTCAATTTATTGTACTCCATAGAGTTATTTGGGGGAAATAGGGAAAAAGCTAGTGATATGAGATCCTGGAGAACACCAGGATATTCATTTATTATATTTATATCCTTCCTTTCCTCAGACCCTCAAACTGCCCGATGTACAATCCTTCCTCCAAACTTATCCCTCCATAACTTTATGGGACAGGTTGGGCTGAGCAGGATGAAAGGCCCGGAGTCACCCACTAAACTTCTGTGGCCTTGGTAGAGTCAAACTTGGTAGAATTCTAGCCTTGCTTCACAATCCCTATACCATATAAATTGTCTAAATCTGACCAGTTAAATGAATGAATGAATGTTGTAAAGATAAAGATATAGAGGAAGAATAAGATTAAGCTTTAATAAACGTGCTACAGTAGGTGCAAGAAATGTTAATGTTTCTCACAGCTGTACCTTTTTTTAAATTGATGTGAACAGATCTCAGTCCACTACAGAGAAGGAATGGAAACATCTGTTTAAAGGGAGGGATTGCAAAGGACTTGGACTGAAGTGTACATTTCATCAACTGACTGAAAGCAAGAAAATGAAGAGGTAAAATTGTCCTTTCCACTTCTGGAAAAATGATTGATTCGAGTACATGTACTGCACACCACAACAGAATGCATAAAATCTCAAACAAGTGAAAAGTCAATTCTTTCCCCCCCCAGTGGAAGCTAAGCCAACTCTGCATTTTTTAAACTGGTTTATGTAGCTGATTCCAGTTCTTCGAAATGGACATTTAGAGCTGTGTAATTTCCTATAGACTGATTTGGCAGCTTTTCCCCAATGTGTAGTGTTTTTAGTTAAGATATCAATGTACTGTTCTCCATATACAGTGAAACTCATTTTATCAGAACTTGAGCCAAGAGCCTCTGCAGGGAACTGACCAATTTTCGGCACCAATTAAGTCTTCTGCATAAAAAGTGTAAATGGCACAATTCATATTGTTATGCAAATCACCCAAGGAGAGGGTCTTAATTTCATGAATGTTTGTTAATAACCATCTGCCCCCTATTATAGCTATTCCATTAAAATGAGGTTTTGTTACTTGTTCTTATAGATAATAATGTCATTCTTCCCAGAGGTTTCTTTTTAATTTTGCATGTGGGACATTGTTGTTGTCATTCACACCTCCTTTCTGCTATAGCTTTAACAGAAGTCAAATATAAAGGTGTTTAGCAAGTAGATACTTTTAGTATCCCCCTTTTCTTGGAGATTAAATTGATTGATCAATATGTGCCATCTAATTGGTGTCAACTCTTAGTAATTCCATAAATAGATTTTCTCTGAATGATCTGTCCCCAGCCTCTTTAACTCTTCCAACAAGGCACTTGTTGCTGCTGTAATTGAGTCCATCCAGAGGTCAAATATTATATTAATATTTTAGTTACCTCCTAAACCTCCTCCCAAAGTGAGGAAAATTTGAATGCTGCAAGAGTATGTGAATTTACATTATACGCCTTGCATCACATCTCCAACAGTAGTATGAAAAATAATATTATACCTTTAGGTGTATGTAACTCTGGGTTGTAGAGAGATTAAAGAATTTGTATTTCCCCCCAAAAAGGATAATTAATTAAATGTTCATGTGACTAAGACAACTAGCATATGTGACATCTGTATACAGTACACCACCATATTCGATCATTTAAATTGATGTGTTCTCTTCTATTTCTGCAGGTTGGATACTCTTCGAAACAGTATCAAAGCTTCTTCCAATATTGCCAAACTGCTAAGCAAGCTGCACAAACCAAGGAAGCTGAAGCATAACCGGACATACGAAAAACAAAACATCTGGCAAAGTTTGAAAATGACATCGTAGTGGAAAGATCACCAGGCCTAATCCTCAAGTCACCACGACTTTCTAACAAACCTTTGCTGAGGCTTTTGTTTTGGCTTCTTCACATTCTACTTCAGGAAAAGATCAAGGAAAGTTGATCTAAATATTAACTCTCTAAACAAGTAAAGGAGAGCCCACATAAATATTCCATTCAGACTGATGACAACGCAGATAAAGACTTATTGGAATTCAGTGGATCAAAGAAGATCTCAACAGTTTCCTTTAAAGACTGTCAAATGAAGAATGGACATGTTTGGATCCCAGCTCCAAAAAGAGAGTAACATTTAAAGCAGGGGTGTCAAACTGGCGGCCCATGGCCCAGATGCGTCATGCACAGGCCACACCTACCCCAGCTCCACAAATAGAAAAACGTCACAAAATATCACGTGACAGCAACGAGTTTGTCACCTGTGATTTAAAGCATCACCTCCTTTGATTTATCAGGGTTCAGCCACGGTATAACCCAAAGCCAGTTCAAAAATGGAAAGATCAAGATTTGAAAGAGAAGATGCCTTAGTTCTGATCTTGATTAAAGGCCAAATAACTTTGCTATTCTGATTGAGGCACATATTCTAAATTACAGGTCTACCTCATATGCTCTGAGTTGCACTCTTGCCAAACTAATATTTCAGCTATTTTAATGAGGTTTGAGTGTTGGCTTCAACCTCTTACCTTTAACCATGATTGCTTATAGTTTAGTTAATTTAGCTTTAGACTTTCAGGATTGCAGATTACGTTTGTCTACAATCTGGTGGTAAGAGAATGAAATAAATTGCCCCCATCCCAAAGATGCAATGTCGTCTGAGAAAATGGATCTCACTGTTTTTCAGTGGATCATGTTTTTAAAAGAGTGTTATTAGAATTGGAGTGATAAAGGATTGTTAAATACCTGAAGTTCAGTATATATGAAAACATCAAAATTTAGTGCCACTGAATGAAATATGAACTGAATGATCAAAGTTGTACGAAGAGGTTGTGCTGTTTAGCTTCGCTCTCTATAAATAAAATCTGACGGCAAAGCTAGTTTAAAACTAAGATGAAAGGCTTATCCTAAGCAAACATGAATAGCAATGGATTTATCTATATGATAAATTTTCTGTATAATATTTCTGGATCATATTTTGTATGATGTGTTCTTTACCGTTATATTTATATTCAGGCAATTGTCAATTATATTTACTATGTTGAACTTATATTAAAACAGGCCATATTGGTCTATATGTTTATATGTTTTATAAATTTCTGTATGAAATTGGAAAATTCTTTATGCCTGTTAAGGTAAATATACTAGAAATAAATATTTTGAACTACTCAGTCTGTTTTATAGTATATTGATTTTTTTTTTGTACTCTTATGTTGCTTCTTCACTTTAATCAAACTAACATTTTCCGTTGTTACAAGATTTCATGCTCATATGTGGACAACATATCGTATTCTTCTCTCAAGTACCTAATCTGAATTGAGTCTTAGGAAACAGAATGTTTTATTCCATTCTTGGATCATCTAAATTGCATTACCTAATGTTCCTTGTAAGCACTTCAGACAAGAATGGGCGCCATATATCAGACATTAAACAATGGTATAACAGACTTGGAATTAACTTTAATATACAGCCTCATAAAACAAATACATATGACTTGGGTTAATGATTGCTGGAAATATCAACGCAAATTGGTATTCATGCATAATTTATGTCCAAGTGATGTATATCTACAATACTGGCAACCTAAACAGTCTCTTAAAATTACAACCCCTTGTACAGGTAGTTACAACTGATTTACAAACATAATTGGGACAAGAATTTCCATTGCTAAGCAAGGTAGTTATGAGAGTCATCCCCAATTTTACCACCTTCTCCGCACATGTAAGTGAAGTTATATATCAAGTGGTTAAGTGACTCATAAGGTCATTAAGCGAATCCAATTTCCCCAATTGACTTTGTTGAAAGCCAGCTAGGTAGGTCGCAAATGGTGATCACGTAACCTCAGAAGCTGCTAATGTTATAAATACATGCCGGTTGCCAAGAATTTTGATCACGTGACCATTGCAACTTTGAACGGTTGCTAAAGGAATGGTTGTAAATCAAGGACTACCTGTAAACTTGTGAAGAATAAGCCAATTGTGTTTACCCACAAAGAAGGCAGCAAGATTCTGAACTAAAGCACATATAAGCTGCCTCTTGGCTGAATAAGTCTGGGGAACCCACAAACATTTGACTGACTCGGCCTTATACACACAGGGAAATGGAGAAGGACTCAACTTTGTTCAACCAACTCACAATGCTCTTCAAGACATCCTCGATGGAGCTGCTAGTAAAAGCAGTCAGTATAAAGTAAAGTCTTCCTGTGATATTTCCCAAGGAAGACAGGGTGGAGCTGAACATATATCCTCATGGCAGAATGCTTGGGGTGGAGGAGGAGAGGAGTCTGTAGGCCTTCCTTCTCTTCTTTGTTGATTCCCACAACATTTCCAAAACAGTCTCCAGTCACTCCCAACTATCCCGGGTAATTAGTACTATTAGCACTAGTAATATTGACAAGGGTGAAGAAGTTCAGTGAGTTCTAGACTTTTAAATGAAACAGGGACTGAAAGCTATCTCCATGCCATGGAAATGCAAATGCTCCATTGGATATTGGGCATCTCCCTTCTTGACCCCATCACACCATTCGACAACATTTTGTGGTGGCACCAATTATAGAGAAGATGAGAGAAGGCCGGCTCTGCTGGTATGGACATGTCCAGACAGAGCAGCATCTTCCACCATGGCCAAGACTGCCTATCGACTAGAAAATGGCTGGTGACTTCCTGGGCATCCAAAACAGAGATGGCAAGACACCATCAACAAAGATATGCCAGTCGTGGGCCTGTGCCCTGGACACACAGCTGGCCATGCAAAATGGTGTTCAATGATCTGAAAAGTAGACTCTGCTCTTGCGGGAATATGCTAGGAGGAGGAGGAGGAGGAGGAGGAGGAGGAGGAGGAGGAGGAGGAG